CGAGTGGGTTAATGCGTCCATCGATTATAGATGCGCGTTTCAATGATGAATCCGCGTCGGAATCGATTCCACCGAGCAGCGCCGCGCGCGCTGCTGTTAACACACATTTAATCCGCGACGCGATATTTCACGATGACTTCCGGCTCTTTTTCAAGTCGGAAAGCTCGCCGCCGCGTCCCCGATTTTTCACAAGCGCCGCCGATATATCGATCGCAATTACGAGGCGCCGCGCATTTTACACACACGGCACGGTCGCGGCGCGGCGTGTCGAACAGTCCATTATCGCAATGATTAATTCCGCTGAAGTATCGGGGCCGGCAGTTTTGAGGGTCGCGATACAAACGTAGTTGTAGCGAGAAACAATACGGTTACGCTCGCGAGAAATATTTTTACGCCGACATTTCTATCGAATAAATGTCGACGAAATTTACACGCAAAAGTTTCGGGGATATAAGTTCCGCGTTCAGATTAGCACGCGCTATTCTTACTTTGGGGGCACCACGCAGCGCGGGAGACAGTTTATTTTTATGACCGATACGATACGCGCGTTAGAAGGATTTCAAGGCACCTCCTTTATTTTTTCAAGCACAACAATTCTCCGATCATTCGGGGCCTATATAGTGAAAGGCATTTCGCTCGATAGGAAACGCGAGCGCCAAAGTTTTTGCAACATGTCTATCTCCCGTCGCCCGTCCCTATCCCCCCCGCCGAATTTAATTTACCCCTAAACAGTCGACGGCGGCAAGTAGAAATGCCTCGGACGAACTTTCTTGCGCTCGACCCACTTAACGATTTTACGTCCGGCCGCTGATGGGCCGATGGAATCGGCCTCAAAACGGAACGTGGCGCGACTGATTTTGCTTTTTTGCATCGAACCAGTATCAACCTATGTGCAATCGACACCGAAAATTATCACTTTTCTTTCTCATGCAGCTTATGAATTTTTCCCATGACTTCTTATTGCTTGCAACGTGCGCGGAGTCTCGAGCTACTATTGTTTTACGCTTTCATATAATTTACTTATCTATTATTAAACGTATGTAAAATATCTACTTTGATTCATTATTATTTTATCGAGAGGGAGAAGATTGAAATAGGATAGGGATTACTTTTAAATATTTTTTCGATCGTATTCGTTATCGAGCCTTTATCATTTACCTTTTATCCGGGTAACCGATCATTGATACGCACAATAAAATGCTTTGCTTAATTGTCGGAGGAAAGAGAGATATTAATTGAACACAAACGAGAACTCGTTCAAATTTATTTGTGAAATTATACGCGCGATAATAATGACGATAATGAAACGATTTATTTTTTCTGCGACTTCAAAAAGTATCTCGAGTACGCGCCATAATGTTCTATTATTTATTTTAATAATTTGCACATTTATTTGATAATTTGCATTTCGAATTATAAAATTATTATGAATATTAAATTATTACTACACGCAAGTTGCTTATATTACTATGGCATAAAAGAGAAACTTCTTGCTTCATGAAATACGAGAGTGATGAACAATTTTGAATGTTTTATAGATATACAAAAAAAAAGAAAGACACTGATGTGACATGCAATCGTAATTATGTCTCGCGGGCTACTATAATATTACTTCATTCCGCGAGTTGCGCGAAAGAAAAAAAAGAAGCGACATAAAACGTGATTAAAAAAGATTCAAGAAGTTAAAGATTTTCAATGATTTAAAATTTTAAATACTCTGAAGGTCAATATTTTTTAAGATATAAAAATAAAAAACAATATATCTAGTCTTGAATTTTTGAGACTCTCAGAACATATATTGTTCCAGCAGTTCTGGAATGCGAGACCTTAAAAAATTCTACAAATTCAATGATTCAAAGAGTGGGAAATATAAAAATTCTTTGAAGGATCCACGAATACGAACTCAAGATTTGAGAGTTTTCAAATGCTGAGATTTTCCCGGGGATCCGAAGGCCGCAGAATTCAAGCGTCTAGCGTGTTGTAGGAATGCGTCGCAAAGTTGAGGGATCCGCGGAGCTAAGTTTGCCGTGGTTTTTTTTTTGTCCAGTCGAAATGCGTGAATATAAGAAACGCAGGAAATTCGGTAGTGCATACAACGTTCGTGGTGCATTCTTACCAGGTTGCAGGGAGATTGCGTCCGTCTGGGATTGCGAGTCACGGGGCACTGAGCTTGCAAGACACATCCAGGCCAACAGACCGCGCTTTGCAAGCCTCGCGACTCGCAAGCTCGACTCTACGTCTATCGTCTCTCCCTTCCACCACCGCCCACCGCTACCCTTCACTTAAACTCGCAGTATTTTCCTTCCTAAATTGTCTTGAGTCATCGTGAAAGAAGATACGCTATAAGATTGCGATTATTATTTAGAAGCTATAAATGATTGGCTGACACGCTGTACGCGTCTCTGTTTCTGGATATTTGTCTTTACAATTTAAAAATTATATACATACAATGTAGGGATTTAAGGACAGCTCTGTTAAGTTTTTTATTATTTAGAATATAAATACAAAATAAATTTAAAAATTGTCTGGCTTGAATCTAAAATACTGACTGAGACTTTAATTTTAAACTCTCTTTCCTATAATTCTGCAGCGTTCTACTCGTCGAATTCGACGAGCATGCACCCGGAAAACTCGAAAGCTTCGTGCTACAACTTATCGCAAAGTTTGTCTTTTTGATGCGCTCACAAAACGCGATCAATGATTGCGGAATTGAATTTATGCCAACGCAGTTACGGCTTTTCCCGAACTAATCCTCGATTTCATCCAGTCGTCGCGTTTAACGACTGCCAAAAATACGCGAAGTCGGACTATCCATTTGTTCGCGTCACGAACTTCTGCGCGGTGCGTCTCGGCGGATTTTTATTTTTTTATTTTTTTTTTTTGCCGATTGGCAATTATCGCTAGTGATTTGTTCCCGCGAGCGCGGACTATTTCGGTACAACGGGACAACGATGCGAAAGCGATTAAAACGGAATAAATAGTAAATCCGCATGCCGACGGCGATAGATCAGCGAAACGACTTTTGCGATCCGCGCGCGCAGCGTTACGTTCATGCAGTATCAATTTGTCATTGTTACACTTGCGGGCGGGCTGGTGCTGTCGCGTATCGTAATACGGCGGCCCGGAGCTTGCAATTCTCGCGATGGCGATTAGGCGCGGGCCGGAACGACGTCGTAATCGCCGGCACGAAAGGAACGAACTTGAAGCTATCGATGGTAATAGATAAAAGCGCGCCGATTGACGGGCCTTGACCGAAAGCCATCAATGTTTTTGCCGACACTGGGGTGGGTGATAGTCGACACGCGGGATGATCGAGAAGTTATACATGCAACTACCACGGTACGATTTTAGAGCATTTACTTTAATATTGCACATGTCATATCACACAGTATCAAATATTCCATTGCCAGTTGTCGCGACTGTTGAATATAGCAATATATATTTTAATCCTGCAGGGTGTTTTTATGAGAGACAGCGTGAATAGATCTTTACACATTCTGTTAAAAAAAAACACTATAATGTACGTACAAAATAAAATTATTTGTCTATAGTTTTGCGCGCAATTCAACTGTGTCGGTAATTTTTTTTTATTTTGACAATATAGTATTAATGAAAGCCCAGATAACTAAATTACATTTTGGCTTGACATTCGGCTTGACACATAATAACAGTTAATAATAAATTTTTACGCACTTTCGTGAATAACTACGGCGTATATATGTCAGTTTCGTGACTTTTCGATCATCCTGTATCTACATTTCGCGTACGTGTATTCGTGCGGTGTTTGCGAGCAAAGGGCACCACATGAGGGTGTTGATTTTCCCACAGTTATCAAGGCGGACACGTTATCGGCGTTCCGAAGGCTATCTGTTCGACTTGCAGCGTGATTAAATTGAAACACCATTCTGCAAAACGTACTAATAGCTGACAATATCTGACATAAATGTTAATCACCGACAACAACATCATACCTTAGTAGTTTTTATCGTCAATTACATATCACATGTGATATCATATATAAAATATTAGATATCGTTTCTTTTCCATTTATTGATATATGAATGTCTGTGTCTATAATTATATATTCGACCAAAGACTCTACATGAATCAATTTTATATACATTCTTTTTCATACAAATCAATGCTATGTAATATAAGATTGAAGTCATGATTTGATATATTAAGAATTGATTCTTTTAAATTTCATCTCTATTTCATCAACAAAAGTCGATGATGTTATATTAAAAATGGTTTTATTGAATTCTTTGTACAAGAAGAATATTAAATGCAATTTGTAATTTTGCGTTGAAATTTACCCAATCGAAAAATATGAAGAAGTTCATAAAGAAGTTGATTGTCGAAAAGGAATTAATATATTTGCAAGGAAAATCTGGAGGCGCCGTAGCCGGCGGTAAGGAAAAAATAAAAGAATTCAAGCAGATTTTACCGAGACCGTGGTGAGATGCGGCGAAATTCCGGTGGCGAAAGGAAAGGCACGTGCACAACGCGATTCGCAAGTATCTTCCGGAGTACTTAGTACAAAGTATCGGAGTACTTCGAGCATCTTAAGTGGCGATCGGAAAGTTTCCTATCGATAGTATCGAGGAGAGCTCGCAATTTTCGTCGACGTTCTTATCGCGTTAGCCGCAGTATCAGGATATCGAGAATTATTACAACTTTCCTCATAATAATGAAGAAATACGATATTATCCGACGTTACTAATTTATTTTTTAATGGCTGTTAAAATAATCGATGTATTATTTTATTTTCTATGAGGTGTTTGTGCTAGAATAAAACACGGAGAGTACAGTAATTCGCGAGCATTAAATTAAATCGCATGCAATTACATTTCGTTTCTTTTTTGCGCGAACGGCGTGAGAGGTATAAAAACGGGAGAGAGAATTTGCTTCCAAAGTTACACGCGGATTTAAAAAAAAAACTTCGTACGCGTATGCTTATTTTCGAAACAGTTAAAGCTTTTGTCGGATAATTCATTTACCTAACTGTCACGCGATAGATCCTCTCGTGCTCGCTCTCCTGTTCGACCTTTGAGAAGATTCCTTCGCAGAGTCGTGGAATCAATCCTGGATCCTCCTGGATAAATAAAACATTATATATATAATGACATATTAATGATATTATCGTATAAAGTTAAAAATATGTCAAACATTTGATTTAAAGATTCGCCATTTAATTATAACTTTTATTTTCATAGAAACATTGTCTAAAGATAATAGAAGAAACAATGAAACGCAGGATAAACAGTTTTATTTGTTACAAGATTCGAAATGTTATTTCTATAGAGTCAGCTAGTTTATCTGAATTGAATTCTGTTTGCAATATGTGCGCTTCTATAAATACAAAACGGCCGAAATGTTTCTAATAGAGGTGGATAAACAAAAGAGTTTGTAAAACGTGGGAGTTTGTTCTGCGGAAAGAATGAAGGTTCGGTCAATAAAGTCTATTCAGACCGGAAACAGCGCGCGACACCTTAACGAGGGGGGGTCTTGTCAATTTCAAAATTTGATGCATTATTAACCAGCGCTCGAAGCGTCCTTTTATAATTGAAACCCGACAAACGAGTGCGCTGTACAGCCGCAACACGTGCTGCGCTTTTAAAAGTCTACTCACCCACCCTCGTTCTCCGCCACCCACCTTTTCACCCCTCCGCCCTCCGTCCCACCCCTCCCCACCCCTCCCCCGCCCTCGCGCCCGGATGCATCTCCCGACCGCGCGCGAATACGCCGGCGGAAGCCGCCATACAATTTAATTAAGCGCCATTCCGCAAAAACAGTTTCAATTTACTGTTTGAAATTTTCGGGACGAGAAACGGAACGTCGATACGATCCGGCAACGAGCTCTCTTTCTCCCTTGTTGGCCAATTAGAGCGATGCGATATAATAATTTCGCGAATGGGATTGACTGACGGAGGGGCGAGGGGGAGGAGGAGAAGATACGAAGCGGAGAGGGGGGGGGGGGGGAAGAGAAGGAAAGCGACGCGGATAATCGGGTCGATGCTATTTGAACTCTAAATATGCATCGGCCAGTTTATGCAGAATGCAAAACATCTAGTTTCGCGAGTATGTTATACGAGAGCGCTTGAGCTGATGGAAACTAAATATTTCCCGGGAAATTCATCCCGCCGATTTTACTTCGTTTCGCCAATACGATAGTAACGTAAGTGAGATTTTAAATGCGTAAATTAATGTAATAATCATATTGTATGGGTGCGAATGAAATGAGTTTTATTACGTCCGAAATATGGCGTTACTTCATGATATTTGGGGTGTGTTAAAAAAAGGAATTAATGCTGAAAGATAAAAGCGAACGTTACTAGCTCAAAGTCCAGGAATATAAAGATACAGAACGGTATTCTGGAATAAACAACTTTTAATTATTTAAAGTTTTAATAATTAATGATAGAACCGCAACAGTGAGGAACGTAATAATTAATTGAGTAACGGAAAAATTTATAACAACCAATTAATTGAAGTAATAAATACAATATCAAAATAAATAAAAATCATGTATAAATAATGTAAACAATTATAATAATTTTATTGAAATATTAAACTACTGTATTAAACGTACGTAATGAAAGTGTCGGTTGTGACAAATTTAGTAGGATCGAAAAAAATTTTTGATTGTTTTTTCATAACCGTTATAATTGAAATATTCATAAAAGATGCAAAATCTATTAACCAGTGTATGAAAAATTGAACATACAGAAGGCTTTTAATTTAGTCAAACAGTAAAACTGCTAAATTTCATTAAATATTGTTTTAAATGTTTGTCAATTTTTATGCTTTAAAAACTTGATATTGGAATTTTTATATGGCACAATGCTCAATTTGCGCATGTTTAATATAAAATCAGAATTATGGAAAATATAGCAATGAACAGCTTGTTAATTAAACAGACATTTGCCAATAATGAATCAATAGTATTTTATCATCGATATTTTCAACATATCAGCTAGGCACAGCCTTATTTAAAAACTTCGCGACGTCGTTTTGCAGATTTGCGAATGACAAAATGCGAATGAAAGAATTGCGAATCATCGAGGAAAAGAATATTTTCGAAGGGATAGGAAAAATGAATTGTCTATTCATGAAAGGACGCGTTGAGAAAGTGGTAAAGTTTTTCGGTAAAATTAATTAACTCGTCATTGGATGAGCGAGACTTTTTATACAGATCGCTGTATGCACACGTTTTGCACGGATATTTTCGCGGGTATTGCGAAAACGTCAGCGGGTACAACGCTGATGACAACGGAACGCTGTCCGACCGGAATAAAAGCAAATAGATTGCGCCCGCTCTGCCGCATTGTGCGCGGAAAATAAAAAAAATAACATTTCGAGATGTATTAATAAAACGCGAGATAAATCAAAGTAATTCTCGGCTCGCGCGTGCATGGTACGCGCTTTGCTTTTGAAAATAATACCGCCGGCGTATCAACGAAACGAGGCGATGGAAGGAGGGGGGGTGGAGCGGGGGCAGAGAACGGGTCGACAAATGTATAGAGGAGGTCTATTATGCGCCGCAAAAATGAAAATAAAGTGCCAATCAGATTTATTACGAGATAAATCGAAACAATTTGCACATTGCACGTTGACCCGTAAACACATCGTCACCGGTTTATTCAGACGGCAAAAGAGTTCTGCAATGCCGCTGCACCGAAAATAACATTGATAAAACGGACATAAAAAGCAAAATGTGTTTTAGCGGGTGATGAGGATATGCTTGGAATCGCAAATGTAATTTTTTCCATATGTAGGGCATCTCTCAACTGTGAAATAAAACTTTGATAAAAACTTCCCAGATATTTTAGAAACCAATATCTCAATTACATTAATATTTAATAATGTAGATGATATATTTTTTTTTTGTAAGATGCAACTCTGAGAAGGATCATTTCTTTATCATTTCTGTCATTTCTTCATCACTTTCTTCTCTAATAAGATTACAAATATATCCACTGTTTAATGATGAATTTTTAAATCCATTATTTAAATTGGACGCAGCATTAAAAACCGTTGATATTTTGTTAAGATATGCGATAATATTTTATAATAGTTCATAATTACATACATTTATAAATGATCAATTAATGCACATATTTGTGTTTCATAATGTGTCTCATTACAAAGTCAAAATAAGCTACGCTCAAAACACTCAATTATTCATATGTCCGATTATGCAGAATCTATGTCAAATATAATATATATATATATATATATATATATATATATATAATATTTGACATATATATTGGGTATATATATATATATATATATAAAAGATACAAAGCACATTTAAAATTTAAAATTAATAAAAATGTGTTTAAAATTATGTTAATGAGTTGCGTAAACAGTTTACATTATACCCACATGCAAATAAAAGTGCCGAAATTAAATATGCGGTGAATCGTTTATAAAATTCCAACGGTAATTCACGTTCGTCCGAAATAATTTAACTGAAAGTTACAATAAAACAGCGGCCTAGTTATGCACCTTCGTGCCCATCATGGTGTAGGTTTTCCCCGATGCGCTCTGTCCGTATGCGACCAGACAAGAATTGTATCCAGAGAACATGGCATCCAGGATGGACTGGCCGAGCGTCTCGTAGATCGTCGCTTGAGTGGCGTAATTCTTCGCCTCAGGATCCGACGAATCGAAGCAGTAATCGAAATCATATTTCCGGGTCCTTTCGCGACTGTCACCGACCTTGCTCGACGATACCTTCAGATTCGTCAGGGAGATCTCGTTCGATTCCGCGCGGACCACTACTGCGGACCCCGTTAAGTTTAATTCCCTGTACATAAAAAATATGTATATATTAGTAATGTACTTAGAAATTTAGAAATCTCTATAATATAGAAAAGTCTAAAAAATTACAACATGAAAGAGTCCAAAAGTTCAGTATCTATAATATGAAAATATAAAAAGAATCTAAGAATTTGACAATATATATTTCGAAATTTAAGGTGGTTTTATCGCTCAACGCCAATTCGATAGTGTAACGTTGTCACATAAACGTCACACAATCGCATATGTACAGTCTATGTGAAACGTTTTTATTGAATTATTAGTCATATGGAGGGACTAACTTTTGACTGGGACTTGCTCGATAAAACCACCTTAAAAATCAAAAAATAAAAGCCTCCGAGAAAGCTTAAAATTTCTATAGATTTATAGATTTCTGTAAGCTTGAAATTTCTATAGATTTATAGATTTCTGTCTTCTAAGGAAATGTAAACGAAGATATTCAAACAAACACACATTGTATTGGAGCTTTAAAAATGTTATCAAAATTTATTTTATCAAGATTTCGCAAAGTCAGCCGGTCTAACGATCAAACGAAGAATACGGGTGATATCATCGCAAATATTTGCGACGGGGGAGTCAATAAACGCATCCAAACACTGCAAGCAGCTTCGCCAACATTTTCGAAGCCGGCATCGTTTTTCCACCTTCCTCGTCTGCATGTGTTACGTTCTCTCGTCGCCGTGTTCTTTTTTTTTATTTCATCCTTTTTTGCCAAGCACATTTTTTCATGCTTCGTGGATCGGAATCGATTCATCGAAAAGCGGTGGCAGCAGCGACAGCAGCGGTGATGCATGCGACCGTGCGTCGCGTTCACACGGGGGTATGCACCCCTTTTCCCCCCTTTCCCTGTTATTCTATAGAGAGCTTTGCCCGATTTTCTCAAAGCATTCCGCACAACCGCCCGCATTTACAACTGCTTTAAAATATTATCTTCTTTAGGCAACAATATTTCGTTCATTTTAGAATTGCGACACGTGACACTTCATTCCCAGATATTTTTAGCTGCGTATCAAACTAATAAACACGCATTTAAACGCGCAGATAAAAACTTATGAACAATTTAACAACAGATATGTCAGAAAATCCGATTGAATTTTTTTGTAATATCAATAATTTTACCTGATTAAAAAATGAAAATAAATTATTATTTTTAAAAACTGCTTGATATTTACCATTTTCAAGGAATGTAAAATTAATATTGAAGGATTCAAGGAATAAGTGAGGAATCTAATAAGAGAAATAAAAATTGAGAACCGTAGAGATTCGGAGATACCTATATGTTAGAGAAGATAGATTTATAGATTCAAAGGAATGTCTTCCGATTCAAAGACATGCAACAAGTCTCGAGGGCATCGAGGTTTACATCGCGAATTATGGACGGTTGCGCTCTCGGGTCAGTCGGTGTCGTGTGACACCGCATTTTGCATGTCGCGACAGGATAAAAGCGCGATTATGTGCGCGATATCTTCGGTGCTGCATGTAGCGTATACGCGGAGGATAGGCTTGCAGTGCTTTAACCCTGGGTTTCGCGTGATCCTGTCGGCCCTGTTAGACTTGTTCTCGTCCTAATCAGACGTTTCGGTACGATTTCGTGCTGTGCCTCGTATTATATAATTGCAAATTCTTGCTAATATATTACAGAGCGAGAGACAATTCGTTCATCTTTACAAGAATCTAAATACCAAAAAGACATATTTTAAGATTAAAAGAGATGTGTAAAATACGAGTGTAGATATGTATTTATATCTTTACATCTATTTTTGTCACAATTAGAGATAACATGGAGTTAGTATCACGTTAATTTGGAGTAAGAAACAGATAGTTGCGTTGCGTTCAATGTACATCATTCAATGTTTGGCAAAAATGCCAGGAATTTTTATATTAAATAACGGTTATAACGGCAATGTAAAAACAAAATATAAGATAAATGTATTATAAAATAATTTTGTAATGACAAAATAACGCTACAGATTTGATTCAAAGGTTGACGGCTCTTTAAAATACGCGTAACAGATTTTTATTATGGTACTGTGATGCAAGGCGCGAATGTTGATTCGTCTCGGCTCTGTTTATTTGTCTTCGCGCTTTAATCACTTGAGAGCAGCTGCTAGAAGCAAATTGCTTCCAACAGGATCGTTGACAGTCTAAATGGATGTAAAAAGTATTATTTTTACTAAGCCTCAATTATAATCTCTTTCTTTAAGCGGTTCCTCTTATTTCTCCCTCGCAATCAATCTTATACATAAATTCGTAAATGGAGAGACAGTTTGATTTCATAAATCTTTAGAATCTTTCAATTTATAAATCCTCAAACTTTTTTATTTTGTACTCTTGGATTCTTGGACTGTCGAGCTTTAAAATCTTGTGTTGTTAGACTTCCGAGAAGAGCAAAAGTATATTTGCGACCCGCACTAAAGATAAAGAAGAGAAAACATTTCTTGCATTAATGTCAATAATATACCGTTCTTTTAGAAGGTATAAACCACTGTTATACTTTTGGATTTATGAATTATGGGACACTTTTGAGACTTGTCATACCACTGCGCTTGTATTGACCGACGTATGATATAAAAATATACTTTATAATGATACAAAAGAAAGGAGATGTGCGTTACTCCCCTTCCTTCCCTCCTCCCCTTGAATCTCGCGTTCCACGGCGCCGTAGTACGAAAATAACAATGCCAACGCGTTAAGACGATACACGCATATCTGTCAAGCGGAGGCAACTATAAACAGAACGGATGCGCCAGCTGTCAACGTAAGGTCGCCCTGCGCCCAGTCACAAAGTCACAGTCCCGCTCTCAATCTTCCATGCGGTCGCACCCCACGTCTAAGTCAATGGGAGTATTTTTGGCGTGAAACCCGCTCTCGGAATCATTAAGCGACCTCGAGCCGCACAGCCGAGACGAATATCGGTGCGTCTCCTTATCCACGAAGAAAATTGAAGCGTTCGGTGCAAGAGTGAGATAAATGGACGTAAGCATATAATTTGTCGGGCTCAGCCTCATAAAATTGAACTTGGCTCTATGGTGGGGATCTTATTAATTGATCTCTCATTCTCTCGTACATTGAAACATTTGGATTTTAATTTTAAGGAGGATCTCGCTCTAAAAATATACAGATTGCACGTAAAAATTAAAAGATCCGGAATATAAAAATTTTATGATCTAAAAATTTAGAAAAGATTATTATTAAAGGTTTAATGAGTCTTTAAATATTTGTTAAATTGGATAATTTTAAAGAACCTCTCTCTTTCTATCTTTTCTCTCAAGAATCGTATAACGAGAAAAGTTTTGTCTATTATATCGACTCAAGTAACGTACTCGTGGCGTAAAAAATAAGCTGTACACATCTAGATGAAAAAAAAAATAAATGTAAACACTTCTCGCATGGCCACGTGTAATAGACTTCGGTGCGCGAAATCATTCATTTCCTGCTGCAAACGAATTTCCTGAGACCCCATTTTGCATCTTTAAATATCCGCGGTTGGAATTTAAGTACCGACTGCACTCGATTCGTGCATTTTGTATGAACGAATGGCAACAGAGAATGCAGAAGCAAGCTTCTCGAGAAAGAAAAGCTGAACTTTATTAAAATTGTTATTTACATCATTCGTACATTATACTTGGCATTTTACTGTAAGACATTATGAGATTTGCGTGAGAACGAGGTACGTTTACGAAAATATCCGAGATTCAATCAAATCCTCAATTGTCTCGAGGCACAGAGAAGGTACGATCTACAATTAAGCACTCCTAAATTATTCGACCGGCTAATGCAGCGCGACCGGGTGCACCACCGCAATGAATCACGCTTTAATTACGATTTGTAGCGCGAATAAACGCGCGATAACTCGCGACAGAAACCTTCGCAGAAGGTCCTCAAGTTCTCGACGCTCAATTACATTCGTCTGCGCTTCCGGTGACTCCGCTTCGGTCTCTCCTCGAGCGCGGTCGTCTTTTTGCCGCTATCCTAGTAGAGTCTAAGTATAGAAACGAGTTCATAAGTGTTTGCACCGCGAGTGAGGCCGCGCGCGAGTGCGTAAATTGAGAATTCGAAGACGTAAAAATTTCTCGACGCTAAAATCGAATTTTGTGGTCTCGAGGACCTGGATATCCAATGTGGAAATAAAAGAATTGCCCAAAGTGGCCTCCGAGAAAACTTATATAATTTATCTTGTTCTCAAGATTTAATAATAGAAGGCTTGAGAGATTATAAAATCGGAAAATCTCTGAGGCAAACATCTCTGAGTGTCCCAAATCCATATGCAATCCAATCAGACATATTTGATTCCTTTACAATACTCCCGACAAGTCTGAAGCGTAAAACAAATCGAGGCAGATATTTTTCCATGTGCAGCCGAGTCATAAACCTTGACCCTCAGCATATTAGGTACCTGCTGGGAAAAAGTCTTAACATTACTTTAGTTATTTTTAATATTGTTGGAACGACTTAATTTCTTCGCTATGGCTTACTATATGCATTATTATTATAACAATTTGTGCCAATGCTGATGCTTGAAAATAACAGTAAGTTAATCATCATCATTCTAAAACATGTATGCGCAAGTGCAAGAATTGCAAGAAAAGAATAATGAAAAAAGCTATAAGCCTTGACCCACATTGGTATACCTTGAAAATTCGCAAAAGCATAAAAGAAGAAAATATGCTTTTCTGCAGCAATAATTTTAAACAGTTAAAAAAAATATATTTAAATTTTTTTGTATTAAATACAAATGTGCTGTGAAGATATAATTCAATTATCGGATATTATCATGATTAACATATGAAACTATTATATTAATTGAAATTGATTTAAATGCGGATTAAGAAGCGATTGTATTTGTTAATTATTTTTCATTAATATGGGAGAAATCAACCAAAGAAATTTATATATAGCTTTAAAACAAACCGAATTATTTTCAGTTTGATGAACAACACATCTTAAAAATCTCAAAATATAAAAATTATATATCGATAATTATCTTACTTTGTGGTTCTATTTCATAACTTTTTAAAAATATCTTTAGAAAATCACATCATACCTATTTTTATTAAAAATGATTATTCCGAAGTGACGATCTCATCTTGCGTTTTTAATCCCATTATTTACAGTGTATTATAAAAATATAGAAGCACATATTGTGTGAGAATAATTGATAGTATGTAGCAGGCAACACAAAGGTAACACTAATAGATACAATTACTCTTTAAATAATTGTAATCCTTGCGCTATATTTTTTTAATGAGCGATTTAGATATTTGCGAAAGAATAAAGTATTGAGACAATATATCGTATGCTCACCTAGTAGATACCGGTCTCACGCGCACGGCCACTTTGATGTTCGCCATATTACCATCTCGCGGGTAACAATGTTGGCGTCATTTGGCTCGTCTACATCTCGCTCGCTAATGTTCTCCAACGATGAGGCGTCCGTCGGTCCCACCGAAGCCCAAGTCGTTCACCGATCGTTTGATCGCGAGTTAACGGTACAATAAAATGTACGGAAGCAATCACTACAGTTAGCGACTCACATTTTCCGGTGGTTGAACGCACCCGCTGACCGACACAAATTTGGTAGCGCGAGCTGCAAGAGAGTGATCGAGACGAATGCGTGCACCGGCGGTACTGGGTGCACGTGTTGCACTGCCGCGATGAAAATACCCTCGAGTCGCTTTCGAGACCATCCCGCTTCGTGGTTTACCCCACCAAGGAGTGAGTGAGCGAGCGAGTTTTAGTGAGTGCCTCGACCGAACTCACTGTGTGCCATTTTGCCTGTTGGACGTTACCCGATTCCTTGCCCCCCGCGTGACGACATCAGTACGGAAAAGAGAGCACCGCGAGTCGCCGCGGTGAATTATGTGTACAAGGCGTTTCATAAAACGCCAGGTGGTTTAGTCACGATTGGGATTTTGGAAGAAACGAATTTTGGGACGGCTTGCCACACCGGAGCTTAATGTCGTCGGCAGGGTACGAAGGATTTGTGAGAATTGAGAGATTTAAGTGCTCGCTGCTGAGTGCTCAAGGATGTCAGGATTGGGGTTCTGTGTACTTACGAGTTTAAGCATCTAAAAATATAATTGCTTCAGAAAGCACTTCGAAGCTGAGAGTTCAAAGATCTAACGCTCCAAGAGCAACTCCACACACACACACGCGCACGCGCACATAAATCTAAAAATATAAAAATCTAAAAAAAAACTAATGAGTCGAAGGAATTAAAAGATCTAATAACAATAGAGGAATCTTGATGTATAAGAACCACAAAGACTTATGTGTGTGCATTCGTTGATTTATAAATTCGAGAATTAAAAGATCGAAGTCCTTAAACAATATATAATACTGCAAGACTCCAATGGAGCATGTATTTACATCGCTATCTCGACACAAAAAAAGTAATGCGCGCTTTTAATTTAACTTAAATCTTCTATATCGCGTGGAACAAGCCGCGACTTACGGATCGCCCTGTAATTTAGCAGACAGAACTCGGTAGAACGAGCCAGGACAAATTGTTGCTGTTGCGGTATCGTTGATTACGCTTCACCCCCTTTCCTCTCCCCCCCCCTCCTCCTCCTCCTGTACAACGAGGGGCATAGTCACCGGCATGTCTCGATGTTTAACGGAGTTACTGGGTTACCGTGTTGACGACCCGCGGCTTTAACACGCGGGTCTATCGACGGGGAAATTAATCAGAGGGTAATTTACTGTGCCTGCGTTCGCCCGCGAGCGGATGTCTCTCATATTTATAACAGAGAAACCACGTACAGCCGGCTAAGAAGGCTTTCCCGGGTCATCGCGGCCCGTTCCCCTTTTTCATATAACGTGGTGTTCCATTTCACCGCGCGCATGGCCCTCATCTCGATTCCTTTGAAGCGCTTCATCCGTCTTTTATGCTATATCTTAAAAGTGCGCCGCGACTTTCAGGCGAGGGTCCCACACTTTGATCCGCTCATGATATTTTCGGGCTAACGGATCTCGACTAGCGTATTCTCTGTGAGATAGAGCTGCTGATGGCGCTACGGATTGGCAATGCTGCTAAATCCTTATTCCTCGTTCGCGGTCATCAAAACTATTATATAGGAGAAAGACGTGCTGAGCACCTGCAATAGTTTGTTACAACGTATATCGCGTATAACGTAGCCTAAATATTACTATTAAATTAAAGAATTAATTGAAATAATGAATTAATTAATTTATTCGTAGTATTTTATATATCTTTATGAAACCTTGGCGAACAAAATCGTTCGTCAACATCAGCAAATCCTTTAGCGTTGCATACACGAGATACTTGTGCAATTAGATCTTGGAGTAGGTCGCCCAAAATTAAATTTAGATTTACTTAACATAATAATTCACTCACTTGAGCGAAGCTTTCGAGGGACATGCTGTAGAACTTGGCGGCGGTGATCCTGGAAGGAACTTTCGACCGCATCATCACGATCTGCAGGCTGCGACCGAAAGTGCCGCCGATCCAGTGGCTACAGTAAGCCGACTCGCCCACGGCATCGCTCTGGTTCGTTACAAGCGTTGGCCGTAAATTAATTACAGGCGATTGTGAGCTCAACGAACTATGTACTAATGAAGATACATGCGTTGGTAATCGGTCGATACGATTATCGTGCATTGAGTCTTCTATCGCTCGTTAAAACTCGTGCAGTTGCGATACGCGTGCAAATCTCTGATACGTGATCAATCTACGTCGAACAAAAATTTACGTATACAATGACATAACTATAACGAGGACTGATAAGAAGACGTATAAATTTTGTGGAAAGAAAATTACACAATTTTGCACCACGAATGATAATTCGATCTAAATTTTACGATGACGTAACTTTTTAATCTAAATTTTACTTCAGCAAAAAGTATCAGATTTTGTAATGATTCAACTCATCGGTTAATCGAGATTAACCGATTAATTACAGATTACCAAATAATTACAGATAGAAAGTTAATTCGAATAATTGTTTGCTTATCGGGAGCTTCGCAGCTTTGTGATCAAATAACGTGTAATAATAGAATACTCGCCTCGTCTATTAATGCGTTTCCGCTGAAACTGAACATGAAAAGCTCAAGGATCGCGGCGTTCAGAAACATCGAGTATTCCATCAAGCGTGCCTTGTTTTTCATCATCTAGAATAACATTTTGCGATGTGATATTTTTATAGTTATAACGCGTTTTTAACGAAAACGCACCGAAGTAATTTGAAAGCCCGCGAAACAAACCAAGCCGGTGCTGATAACGAACTGCCCTAATGCCAGGATATTTACGATTCTTTCGAGCGTATCCGCGAAACTAAAATAGACAGATTGAAGAACGGTAGAGAGCGAGAATTGCAGGAAATATTACGCATAAATATTGCAAATTAACTTCACGTTAATATATTAATACGAAGGTGCTTTTTGTCATAAGTGGAGTGGTAAATTTTTTAAATGTTCTTATTTTCTGTTAGAGAATTATTTCAAAAATTATTTCTTTTCAAATTGAGTACTAAATTCGATTCCACTTAATATAATACTAAATATTCACGTGATAGCATTTTGATGATCTTTAATGCAGTTGGCCATTGCTCTGTCAGCGTTGGGATCGTTGCTGCTTATTGCCTCCAGCTTCTTTCGCAGCACCGCGAACTTCGCTGATCCATGTGTTGTCGCGACGAGGTTGAAAGTGGTCGCGCCGACTATCGTGCCAGCCGAAAAAGAACCGCCCGTTACATTGAAAACGTAGAGACATTCGTAGATAGGTGAGATCGATTGATTGACGAAGAAATAACCACGGAAGGGAAATATTCTTTCCCTTCCGAGAGCATATACCTAGTCAAGCAAATGAAAATTTCATGAGAGTCAGGACAGTTAGATAAACGATTTATCATTTATTATAATTAATTTTGTTCTTATTGTTTACATAAGGATTACGTTTTGGCCGGAAAATCGAGATAATTGATAATTCATTGCAGAGTTTGTGACTACCTTGCCTTGTAAATTATATTATTTGATATTGATTATTATTGTCGTGTCGTATTTTCCCTCCCCAGCTCAAATTAATTTTCTATAATTGTTAATAATAATTTATTAACAATTTAATTACCTGCGTATCGGGGAAATAAATACGGCGAGAAGGGATTAACATCTACATAACGTATACGCCTGCGTGTGTCTGTGTGTGTGCAGGTGTTTTCGAAAGGCTCGTAAAGCGAAACGACCATCGGAAAACAATTTCCCGTGTAGAGGCACTATCGACGCATTTGCGAAACGGTAATAAACAATTTCGGAAGAACGGTGCCTTACGCAAACAAAAAAAAAAGAGTAGGATTTCGAAAAGCTACCAATGTCAGCATTAATCATCGTGCAATTTGCATTACCGGGTCGCACGTGTTGCATATGTCAATCTATCACCGTTTCGTTTCGCGAAAGACGGAACAGACGTGTGCAGAAGTAGTTTCTCCCGTTTGAGAACGTTTGTTTTGTAAACATCTTGTTTTGTAAACATCTTGTTAAAATTTATTGTTCAGCATCGTTTTGTTAAGGAAATAGGCAGTTAGATTTAAAGAAACTTCCGCAGTTAATTGGTCCACAGGTACAATTTAATAACGGAGTCAATTAAAAAGTTATATAGAGAGAAGTACGAAGTTCCGAAGCAATAAGCTGCGGCGCTCTCCGAGAGATCTTAAGCTCTATCACTAAAGGATATTCTAATGCCACTTCATATTTAATTCAAAATAGACCATTTATTATCATAAAATTGAAAATTTGTAACGCTACGAACAAAATGGAGAATCTCGAAAGAGACAGTATTATATTAAAGTGTGCAGCATTGAAAATAAAAAATATATAAACAGAAATTTTTTTTTCACTCATAAATTTGTCTTACTTTTAAATCCAAAATTACTTTTAAATCCAAAAGTAAACCTTTTATTCTCTTGACGGAATTTTTGTGTCTTGAGACAAATGTCATAAATTGTATAGAAATATCAAATGTGTGATTTCTTGTACGTACCTCCAAAATTGGTATGCATGTGAAGGTCACGATGGTTACAGTTACCATAATTGCAAAGTATTTTGCGATTTGAAACGCAAAAAGACACTTCTGCTTCAGAATGACTCTGTCCTCGTAAGACGAACAGGTCCAATCCTTTCTCATAGTCTCGACCACGTACAGCATGTCTTTTTGATGGGACGTGAAGATAATGAGACGTATTATGGCAAGAGAAAATGCGGAGGCCATTAAAGCGCATGCCGTCAGTTCGTCCAAATCGTTAAAGTTGTGAACTAAGTCAGCCATAATGCCGGCACACGTTGTAATGATCTACACATTGCAAATAACACAAATTGAATTATTTAATAATCATAAATAGTCAATAATGCAATTTTCGAGCAGACACGGATGTTAGTGTGTAATAATTTTTACTGTTTATACAATATCAAGCCATATACAAACTGTGCGCCGCATAAACTGTCAGTCTTGAAACACAGTTCTTACATGAGACCAGAATCTACTGTAACGAATTAATTTGTCGAACAATTTAATAATTTCGATTAATAAACATTCATTAAGAATCCTCTTCCCCCCCCCACCAAACCTGTAAAGAATTTCTTGCGAGAAATATCACCCCTGCTCCAAGCCGGGAATCGAACCCGGATCTCCACGTTTTACCGGACGCGTTGAATTATTTCTATTAGATCCAAAATCGCCTTTATCTTAATTATATTTAGTGACAGTTATATTCTATTTAATTACTGAGGAAAATTTACGAGAGAAATTTAGTTGTAAATATAATCAATGTTATAAATTAATAGAAGTAAATCGCCTTTCTTTATCTTAAAATTTTGTTTGCGTCTAATTAAGCTAGATATTAGAATTCTGCATACCGTGAAAAATAACCAGAGCACGTGACAAGTCTTGAACAGCTTCGCGCGGGTTGAATGATCCCTCTCCAAAGGCCAAATGGAGATAAATTTGGCAGCTACCATGATGGGCTTGATTAAATCGTAGTATTCTTTATCGGCGCTCACTTGGCGTTCCATGTCTGATCCTCTCTTCTTCGGCTCTCCGTTATCAGTGCGATTCGTATATAGGTATAATACGATGCGATCGCGACTCGTGACTTCTCGCGACTGCGGAAAAGCCGGAAGTCCGTCACCTCGCACCGTTCGCGTCCCCTCGCCGAGGCTTGGGAGGGTCTAACGTGCCAATCTCGAAAGTGCCAATCTTTTCTTCCCCCCTTCCCCCTCCCCTATCCTCGCGATTTGATCGCACGAACGACGAGATAACGACCGGATATCGTTCACGTAAGGTGGCATAATGCCCGAAGTTCGAAACTCCCTCGCTAACGGGCGGTTGCAAACTTCTCGCGTGCATAGATGTCGACCTCTGTTCCCCTTCATGGGGGAAAAGAAAAATGCAATTGTATCCCTCCAATGCATCTCGCCACGCGAAATTGTGCGCATTCTTTGTACCAGAATTTATCGGTTATCAAAAATCGGACGTTATATTTCCGCATCATTTTCATGTATTTTTATAATCGATCGATATTCTTTACGTTTGACTAGAGAATTATTTCTACGCCAGAGTGACTTGGGGAAGGAGTATATAACATTAAGTGAAAATGTCAAGCTTTGAAATCGAAGGCAGAGCACCTAACTGTGTGTCGTGCGAACGTTTTCTTAAGTATATTTCGGAATATATTAGGCGGCTTTTCCTATTATCGTTTTTTCCTTAATTAATTTCGCTGGAAAAGGCTTTGTGAAACCCGAAATGTTTAAAAAATACGACGTTCTTAACTGTAATTGAATAATATCTATTATATAAATAATGTTATACAATTGTTTAATATACAATTTTCTTTTCTGTTCTTTCGTTACTTAATTCGTTTAATTACTTAATGTCACATACGCTCCTTTGGCCATATATAAGTATGGATTGATAGTAATTAACTTCATACGTGTCGCCAAGCTGGAAAATGTAAACTCCACTCCAGTCAGTAATTTTTTGCGGGGAGGGGGAAGGCTCCGGTGAAATCAGCGTGTTTGCGACGTGTAAAGGAATTAAAGGTGCTGAGTTTGTTTTTAATTTGTTTCCATCGATATGAGGTTTTTTCCGGCTCCCTATTAATTTTCAACATAACATTTGATATATGTATGATATATTGACATTTTTTTACTGACTGGGGTGGAGCCTAACAATCGAAGTTCGATACATCATCCAACTTCAGCTCGGCGACATCGGGTCTGTGTCTTTTACATAGCAAAAGTGGAGGGACTAGCAGTCCGTATTTATTTAGTCAAAGATACGCCCATTGTCATTGACTTAAATTTCTTATATGGTCAAGTACCTACTTTCACGAGCTCGATTTTAGCACATTTATTGAGTAGCATGCAGTTGCGAATATTCTATGTAATCATGGTGAGCGTGTAGAAAAGTAAGGAAATAACAGACGAGAGCAAGTTCTATCTTCGTAAGTGATTTTCGATTTTATTACAGGGAGATTTTGCGCTAGAGAGAGGGCTATATTTGCGTCAATTGAACGTCAATTGGTTCCTTACTTTGCGTTAAAAATAAATGGGGTAGCGAAGGAAAGAAGAAAATTACGTATGAATACATAAGAAAGAGAAGCACGCGAGGAATATATAAATAAATTTTTCAACGTAAAATATATATTTCTTTTGAATAGTTGATAATCATAAATACATATGCATTTATCGGCTGTTTATACGATCGACAGTTTCTTTATAGAATAACTATATATATATATATATATATATACATCTATAATATATTCAACACGACGGTATCGTAAATTGCATAGATTAAAATATAGATAAATGAATCTATTCGCATATAATAATCCCAGAAATAATAAACAAAGATAACTGCAACTCAATATAACTTTTTAATTATATCGTCGTTTGCATCGCGCATTCATGTTTTATCTTAAACACTTTTAAGCCATTTTTTTTATACAAGATTGATAGATATTGATTTTTAACAAACAACTATAAAAATAATTATAAATTGATTTTTAATTTCTTAAAATCGTCCGATTTGTATGTAGAAAATATATTCTTTTTACACGCATTTTTATTTGAATTCGAATTCAAGCATTGATCTCTCGATCTCGCTGAGACGATCGATAGCACTGTGCTCCGACCAGCTCCGACTTCACACTTCGCACTTGGTTGAGAATCGCTGGTCAGAGTCCCGTCAAGTCACGCGTGCGCGTAGCGGACCGACGCACGCATAACCTCAAATTCGTCGCGACTGTCGAGAGAATTGCTTTCGCACGCGACAATTGTGAGACATTCCCGACGATCTCGCGGGGATATGAGTTGTCGTTATAAAGACACGCGATAGCCCCGAGAATGGCCGCGCCTTATCTAGGCGTGAGCGACATTGTTCATCTGAACGTTGGCGGCACCAGGTAGATCGTTCGTCAATTTTTCCATCGATTTTTACTTAACCTCTCGAGTGTGTTTACTCAACTCAACCTGCAAATTGGAATATGGATTCATATCGTTTTTAGATTATCTCATATTTTTTTTATCGATTTTTGGATCTTAGATTAGATTCTCTCATTGAATCTTAAATTTTTTCTTATCAATCTCGTACTAGATTTTTTTTTACCTGTTTTGACAGCACATTAAACCGTTTTCAGATTCTCCACCTCCCGTCAAACTCTGACATGGATCCCGGATTCCTTCTTCACGGCGCTGCTGAGTAACAGAATCGACAGTCACAAGGATGAGACTGGGGCGCTTTTCATCGACCGAGACCCGAAGCTGTTCTCCATTATATTGAATTACCTCCGTACGAAGGACATTGATCTGAAAAATGTAGATATACGGACTTTAAGGCACGAGGCCGAGTACTACGGCATCACTCCCTTAGTTAAACGATTGATACTCTGTGAAGATTTAACTCAGTCATCCTGTGGCGACGTACTGTTTTATGGCTACTTACCACCGCCAAGTAAGTAGTTAAGTGGTCGCATTGTTAAGCATATTATTTGCATTGCAATATAAATTGTAACGGTCCTGTATATTTAAAGGTATACCACTTCAAGAACCTGTGGCGGTGACATCAAATGTCAGTGACGTATCAGTTCATATTAGAGTCAGCTCCACTTCAAACTCCTCTACAAGAGTCGATGGACCGTCTACCTCGCAATCTGTGACAACCACGAACTCTACTAATCAAAGTGTCAACGGTATTCATTTTTATTCAAAGACTTTATTGTCATCAATAAGAACATTTGCATCTGAAATATTTAATTCGCGTTGAATAATTAACTCCACATTAAAGAGAAAGCTGACGAGGAATCGTTTTGCCGCAGGCCCACAGAATCACAAAGGGGCACTAGGGACGCATATGAGAAATTCCTCTTTGGACTATCGACTGCCGCAACGCGGACTTCCGCATTCTCGCACGCCATCTCTAGATCTGAGACACGCCAGGAACAACTCGGCTGATCTGAATAAATTGTATAAAAACGATATCGGCCTAATATTTGGATCGCAGCAAGGTAAGCACTAGTGAATCGTTACTCCTGAAATAAACGTAAAATAACGTCCACCTTTCTTTTCGCTTTACATTTCTAACATTAATAAAAATGCACTGATTGCAGTTTCGTCATGGGTGGACCCTCTCAGAGTGCAAATCATAAAGGCGCATCACAATTGGATAGTGATCGCCTACGCGCACTTCATCACGTGCTATCGGCTGAAGGACTCGTCCGGGTGGCAGCACGTGTTCACCAGTCCGCACATCGAGTGCATAATCGAGCGCGTGGCGATAAACGCGAAGATGGGTAGCGGCGCGGACGGTAAGATGGTTGCGATCTCTTATGGCAGTCAAGTAAGGCTCTGGGGTGTGTCCGAGGAAGGGATCAAGATCAACGTGGGCACGTTCAATTTGAACGTGCGTGTAGAATACTTGTTCTTCATCGGCAGCCAGTTGGTCGCGTTGTCGCCGACCGGAAAAATCGGCGTGTGGCACGCGATGACTCATCATTGGCAGATACAGGACGTGGTGCCCATCCTGTCGTTCGACACGGCTGGATCTTTCCTTCTGTTGGGTTGCAATAACGGCTCGATTTATTATATCGGTAAGCAACAAGATATTACATTTCTAAGTGAAGTCCTCAATACATTTTTGACAAATCGCCAATTTACACATTAGAGGAGCGTTATAAAAGAATGTAAAAATTTTATTCTCTAAAATTTTAAATATTAAAAGTCTTTGAATTGCTAAAAAGAATTTTAATTGTTAAATTTTAATAGACTCGGAGCGTCTTATGGAACACAAATCACTTTAAAAAGAATTTAGATCTCTGTAATAATTTTGGTTATTGTATGTGAATTACAGACATGCAAAAGTTTCCTTTGCGAATGAAGGATAACGACCTGCTTGTGACCGAGTTATACCGTGATCCGAGTTACGATCCCATAACTGCGATATCTGTGTATTTGACGCCGAAAACTAGTAAGTCTCCCTTTATGTGTCCTATTCTCATCTTAACGTAAAAATCCCGACAGATAATGTAATTACAAAAGTCCGAGGTAAAAACTTTTTCCTCTAGAGCCAACTAGTACGATTTGTTGAAAAGCGATTCGAACGAGTGACGTATTTTATCAAGATCGTTTATTAAGGCTGCTTAAATGCAGAATGTAATAACAAACGTCACCATCGCAACAGCTTCATCTCGCGAGCGATTATTTCCATCACTGTGCTAAAAAAAAATAAGAATAAAGAAAAAACAAGAGCTATCCTTTTATGTTCGAGAATCTGTTAATCAATAACGAATCTGTTAATGATCGCATAGGTGTTATATAATTGTTGTTACTAACCGGCGTCTATTTTATATTCATTAAGATATTATAGGAATGTGTTATAAGGTTTGATGTTGGTCCTTAAAGATATTAATGAGAGTTTATTATTACATTCTTTGCTTCGTCATTTCTCGTACAACTGGATAAATAGCACAAGGCAAGTATGGGTCGTATGTAAGCAGATTTTCTGCTTTCTCACGTCCAGCTCGTAATAAAACGAAGCGTCATCCGCCTTCATCTTTGTGTGTTTTGATTGCATCAAAACGTGATTCGTGCGATTAAATTAGCGACAAACGTACACCCTCTTCCTCTCCAGATAGCATTAAGTTTTTCACACCGATGCACTGGCGCATAGTCGTATATACATTTTCTTTTTTTTTGCATATCGGAATATAAGAATCATATACTTAGAAGCGTGTCTATTACAAAGCATATTTGTTTTTAGTAGAATGGGAATGCAAATAAACGTCTATTTCTACGTGCGAGAGTATACGAATTCACACGAGACTTGCGAAATGATATTAGATATTGCACAACTTATACACAACCCTGCTATCCTTATGCGTCCAGTTGTACTAACGCGATGTTCTTTTTGTTTCTTCGCATTACTTGTTACGCAGTGGATTCAGTTGATCCGATTTGTCCGTTAGAGCTGCTTGCTTGCTCTTTCTATTCATAGTAATATGTTCCATGCCAGCATCTGAGAGGGGAAAGGGAGGTAATAGAAAACATGTATTTTTGCTTGTGTACTTTTTTTCGTTGGTAGTGACAAATTTATAGGTAATTTTTACCTAAAAATAAAAAAAAGGAAAAATTTCTGCAAAAATTTATTTTAATTATTTACATTAATTATTAATTATTTGCACACATAAGCGTGTTATTGCTTATTTATAAATTATAATTATACATATGTATATATACATACACATTGTATATATTTTTAAAAATAGCTTTTGCTTATTGTTGCAATGTGCAGCATGAGGCATTGTGAGCTTCAAGACATCATATGTATTATTTTCTGTTAATAATACTCATTTAAGCACATATGTTATTTAAATATTACTTCACGTTACATCTACATTTTCAAAATCTTTCATTATATCATAGCTATTGTACGAATAATTAATCCTCTGATGCATTACTATATAAAATCTTATCCTTAAATTATGTATAATACAATTTATTGATTTTGATCAATATTGATTTAATTTGAGATAAAATTCTCAATCAATATATAATATATTATTAAAGCTATGTGTATGATCAGATGATATATATTTTTCATTTTAATTCTCAAAGTGTATCAGATGATTAATATTCTAAGCAATATTCTCAGCATATTCTTCTAAAAGTACGTTACACTCCCAACATAGGTCTCTGCGGAAATTGGATAGAAATCGCCTATGGCACGAAGTCCGGAAGTGTCAGAGTAATCGTCCAGCATCCCGAAACTGTTGGCCACGGTCCGCAGCTATTCCAAACCTTTACAGTCCATCAGAGCAGCGTAACCAAAGTATGTTCAGCATCGACATGTATCCGACAGAGTTTTACATTAATATTGTACATTAAATAAATTATAATGTCGCATTAATTTAATTTATGTCACGAAACTTACGTTACAGGTGACACTCTCCGAAAAATACTTAGTGTCGGTTTGCTCGGAGTATAACCACGTCAGAAGTTGGGCGGTGACCCGATTCCGCGGAATGATTTCTACACAACCGGGATCGATGCCCGAGGCAAGCTTCAAAATTGTATCTTTGGAAGCAATCGATTCGTGCGTTAGCTACACCGCTGGCAACGATTTTGGTATGTTTTGTAATATATTGCAGCTTTGTGAACCGTTACAGCATTGTTTCCTTTAATTTGAAATTATTTTTGGACAACACTTTATCTTAACGCTTTTTTATTTTTATTAAATATCTTTCGAGATGCGAAAAACTTTATAATTCTCTGGTTTATTTAATACCCGAATAAAATATGTACAGGACCATTCGGTGAGCAGGATGACGAGCAAGTATTCGTGCAGAAGGTCGTGCCCGAAACCGATCAGTTGTTTGTGCGATTAGCGTCGAATGGGAAAAGAGTTTGCGTAATACAGTCAGTCGATGGCAGCATCATAAGCTCATTTTACGTACACGAGTGTGAAGGTTCTAGTCGCATGGGCTCAAGGCCCAGACGTTTCATATTCACTGGTCATTCTAACGGCACCATTCAAATGTGGGATCTCACAACGGCATTGGATCCGTCTTTCAATGCCACTCGAGGTACGTTACTCTCTCTCCCGTTGTGTGACGTAACGGAATCGGCGAGCATGACTTACATATCTGAAATATATTGTAGGAAGTAGAGGATTCGCGTAAATTGTATATTTGAGAGAAATTCTATGGGAGGCAAATTATATTTATTTTATATGACATATGTAGATATAACGTTAACTTTCGTAATAAAATCCATTTTTTTTTTTTGGTGTTTCGACTGTATTTAGATAAGAGAAGTGGCCTATATATAAATCATTACGATTAACTTTTTCTGATAAATGTTAATTATTTATAATTTTATATTAATTTTCCACAAGATTTTTTGTGATTAATCTCGATTTAATTAAAAATCTGTTGCCAAATTTTTATGATCTTGTCTTTTTGCAATAGATACCTCCGGTGGACCTACGCCAGAAGAACTTTGGAAGTTGTTGGATCAATGTGACCTGAGCAACAGCCATTGCTCAACGCCTTGCATCAGTCCGTCTCCTTCGTTACTCGCGGCTGGACCTAAGATTAAGTCAAGCAACGTATTATTTCTCAATCAGTCGCAAAATCCAGACCCAACGCCTGGACCAAGTCAAACGTAAGGATGCGCCTGATCGAGGTACGTCGTGCCAAAGTGGCACGCAATCAGAATCTGCATTTATTTAATTATTTATTTATTAACGAGCCGCTATGAACCGTCAAAAAGTCTGTAGCCATAGTTCCTAAAACGCCATCTTTGCATTTTCAATATGTATAATGAGACCGGAGTTCACTATTTGTTTATTTAAACAGTGCAATTTTAAAAATAATATAGCAAAATAACATGACTGCATTTATAAACTCTATAGCCATTATTGTTGAAATCATTATTTTTTTTAGTAGGGAATTGCACTCGTGCGTAAAAATATGTATGATATATATTAAATTATTTTTTTAAGAAAGTTCGATAAATATTATCTCTTTCGAACATGGCCAAGAATATTTATTTATTGTTATTAATATCGACGTAACAAAATTTTTTGAAAATTTACTGTTAAAAAAATTTTAATATCTACAAATTTATAATTGTTTTTTTTTACTATTTATTGTTATTTGTTTTACTCCAAAATAGCTATCGAATTTTCTTAAGAGAGATCGATTTTAATGATATTCTATGTGAACTTTATATGTCTCGTTCAATAGGGTAAAGGGAGGAATAGATATATTCGACAAAATCATGAACTGATAGATAATAATAAGTTAAACGTTTTTGTTTACATATTGTGTATATATATATACTCAGTTATATATTCTGTATGAATGTTACAAAATGAATCAAATACGAGATGATCATATATGGAATCATGTTATTTGTCACACACATGCGTTAAAACGTCTCGCATTAAAACAAGATCAAATATTTGAAATTTTTTAATTCTAATACATTTATATTGTAAATCAATGTGACCAATCGTTATATCGATTTCTAGCGATTTTTTTTTACTTCGACTGTAAAGCACTTAACATTATTTCAACGTTGTATCGACGTTTTATGCCCTGAATATTATTATTAAGTAATTGATTTTACCACTTGTGTCTCGATTAAAGAATGGCATACATTACGTATGCAATTAACGATGTAAGGATTACACACATTCGAAGATCAAATTGTACTGTCATTGTATACATAAATACCTATATATGTAGCCTCACTGCATATATAATGTATACGCGTTCGTCGATGTACATATACATATATAAAAAAACGTATAGTAATATTGTTGCGTCAAACCGCGCTACTTCTGTGATTTAAATAAACCATTATGTGTATGGCGATGTGTACCGCTTTTCGTGAATATTATTTATCCACTGCCACTGTACACATGAACATCGTTATATACACTATACATACAGACTGTTATAAAAGTAGACGATTAGAAAGATCGTTTTTAGAAATTTTCTCTCAGTAGGTTACATTAACTCTATACATAATCTATATTACAATTTTTTTTTGTTTACAAAAATCTCTTTCTGTCTGAAAATATCGATAACGTTTAACGGATCGTGATTCGCGAAATAATGTAATGTTGCGGCATATACAAATGTATGCGGCAATCGTCGTAAATGATAAATTAGAGCTAGATCCTTCGCATTTCGGTTTTGCGAACAAGTTCATCTAATAGTTGTTGTGACACTCACCTGTGATCGTCACTGTAAAAGTCTAATTTTCAGGCACTACGGTGATAATACTTTGTAACAATGCCGAGCTGCACGATCAGTTAAGTTATAGATACACACTGCTATCGAATATATATATATATATAATTAAAATTAGTCGGAAGTAATCCCGCCGACGTTCGTCGACAGACAAGTAGTATTGTACTCTGTTAGACATAAAATACAAAATATCTCACAACAATGTAAACCGACGGAGATCGGTGGAGCAAATTGCGGTAAATTCTGCGTAAAAACATTTAACCCTAGTATTTGTTATATCCTAATATTTGTTAGAGATCGGGCGCGTCTCATATAAATTGTTTAGTCCAGAATAAATTATTATTAAACAACGATGGATGAGTCAGCGGCATCAACAAGTAACACCAGGCGACCAAGCCAATCACAAACAGACACATCAGTCCGGCTCTCTTCAGTGGATCCTTGTACGCCCCTATCTCAGACAGGTCAGGAAATCCCATGTGATTGCAAAATGAATGCGCGGCAAAGGGTGCGATGAAGTGTCCTAGGAAAAATAAAATACAATAAAATCGAAAGTCTCGTCAGCGACTTTATGTAATAACAAAAAAAGATCAAAATGATCCCACCTGTTCTCGCAAAGAGGAAGGCCGCGTACGCTCCAAATAACGTCGTGTACGTGGACTGAAAACCTAAATTAACGCAATTTATTTCAGTTTATTCGAACGTCACGCGGATCCCTAGATTTCCTAGATATCCTCCTCAAAAAAGAAACTTACAGGATATAAACAACGCGTGCTTGATGCTCATTCCCATCTTTACCCTCTCCACCACGTGATGGAAGTGAGCCACCCCGAAGAACAGGGGGCAAACGAATATGGCAGTAGTCGGTGTGAAGCACTGCAGGAGCAGCGGCAACATGCAAGCCCTGAAGGTCCACTCCTCGGACAGCGGAGCAACCACCAGATTTCTCCACCAAGTTAGAGTCTGTATGCTTCCCAGCCAATACATGGGCTCTGAGACAGAAATTGTGTCTGTCAGCTGTCGGGCCCACGGACTCTCGGGATCGATTTCGAATACCAACCGGTGTACAGTCGCCACAGCCCATTGAATCCTTGCAGACTCAGGGGACCTAGGAACAGGATCATGGTCAGGAGTAACGATATCACAGTCGCCTGTATCAGACCCGTCCACCGAAGGCCCAGCATCTCCCAGATCGTTGCCTGTTAGGCGACAATAAAAATGATTATACAGAATATAATATCTAAGTCGCGTGTAGACGAGAAATAAATAATACCTTTTGAAATATTTTCTCATTCAGTCCAAAATATAGGGATGCTGGTGAAACGAGGGTCATGATAAATACGCTAAAAAATCGTTTCTTTATGGTCGACGGGTGCTCTCTGAAACATAAAAACCCATCGAGTGTAAAAGTTTGACGTCCTGTCACGAATATTTTTTTTATAAGTAAATGTATTAATTATATATATATATATATATATATATATATATATATATGTAATATGACATGCTGAAAAATTGATAAAGTTATTGATTGCCATCATTGCGTTTAATCTGCGATTGCTTTATAATTTTGCAAAATATAGTTATTTTGACATTTTTGACAGGCTGCAGCCTCGATAGCTCTGAGGTTGATTTGAATGTCGCACCAAATCGGACGCCATTAATCGCACGTGAACTAGACGTTTGACGCGTCTCTGCCGCTCGGCGGTCCCCCCCTCTCCTCCCTCGCCCCTCACCCGCATCTTCGTTTAGTCGAGCGGCGCAGGCCGACAGGGAGCGCCACCGCCGCGCGCGCTTGTCCAGAAATATTCCAGGAGCGGCGCCGCGACAGGGAGCGCCACCACGTGCGGACACGAACTGCGTGCGTCAGTCACAGCATCCATCCGGTCGCCGTGTGGAACGGTTCGCGATCGCGAGCGCGTATACCGAACGCACAAGTGCACTGCGCTCGGACGAGACGGAGGGGCGAGTCTCCTCCGCGCGAGGAGTCTCGCTGGATGGACGTTTAAAGGGCGGAAGGAAGCGCGGGGGGGAGAAAACGGCCCGTTGACGTCCAGAGTGTGCGGTGATCGCGACGCCGCCACCGCCGCCGCCGACGTTGCGCTAGTTCGCCACCGCGGACGCGTTTACCGGCCGCGACGCAACGTACCTGTTGTGCGGCGAACTCCAGACATACAGGCTCGCCACGTACACGATCGAGAGCGCGAGGCACGCGAGGATCGCGGTGGCGCAGTTCGTCGGGCTATCGGTACTCCGCTCCGCGGCCTCCATAACTCCATAACCGATGTCGGTCGCCTGTGTCGCGCTCCACTGCGGAAGGGGGGCTCGGTAATAAGCCCGTGGCGTTGGCGGTGGAGATCGCGGGGAAGAGAAAGAGAAAGAGAGAGAGAGAGAGTGAGATAGAGGCGCCGCAGCGGCAGAGGGTTGAGGCGGTGGTGTGTGGGACGGTGCGGGTCGAATGGGGGGTGGGGGGTACACCACGGCACGCACTCGCGGGGCAGAAACTTGTCCGATTGGCGGCTGCCCTCTGGGCCAGTCGGCGAGCAGAGACCAAGAAGATGGCCGCCGTGCACGGTGGTAATGTCGCTATTGTGTAGTGCATCTTAAAGCTTTTGGCGCAGCTTCTGTGCCGTGGGCGTCCGCCGAGCACGGTACCGCGGTGGCTGCCCGACTGGCCCACGGGGAGGGTACCGCCGGGATCTCGTGCGCGTCCTCGTAGCCGGGAAGTGCGACGGGCCGCGATCGACGACAGCGGAACGACAGGAGAGGCAGGAGGCGGCGGCGGCGGCGGTGGAGGAGGAGGAGGTGGTGGTGAAGCAGGAGGTGGAGGAGGACAACGACGGCAACGAGGACGGACACGAGGACGACCGCCGAGGGCCGCCGACGACACGAAGATGCCGAGCGCGTCGTTTTCGTCGTCGCGCAGCTACGTGCGGAGGTCGCGTCGGAAAAACGGAAACAGGATCCCCTTGCCGAGAACGGGTAAGCAAAGCAAGCGAGCGAGCGAGCGAGCGAGCGAGCGCAACGGAGAAAGAGCGAGTGAACGAACGCGGAGCGTATGTACGAGTGAGCGAAGAGGGACGGATCCGCGCGAGGGAGAGAGCGAGCGAGCGAGAGAGCGAGGAGGACGAGACAGAGACAAAGACGGGTTTCCGTGTTCGGAGCTGCTCGGACCAGGACCTCGTCGTCGGCCGCTCCCCCCCGTCCGCCGCGCATCGTCCCTCCGCGACCGCGTCGCGGATCCCGGGGGTGCCCCGCGAACGTCGGCGACGACCCCCGGGCTCCGCCATCTCCATGCCTTTGTTCCCTATGGGCCATACGTATGCATGCACACACAACCGCGTCCGTCCGCACGGCACGCGCCGAGCGTTTCCTGCGCTCTCTCGCCCTCGCTCCTACACACAATCCGCCCATCTCTCCACACGAATTCTTTTTCTCTCCGCGGCTCTCGCTTCTCTCCTCGATTCTCCCACGGTCCTCCTCTCGGTTTTCTCTCTCTATCTCTCTCTCTCTGTCTCGCTGATTCCCTTCCGTTGCTCTCGCTCGAAATGGCAGAAAATTTGGAAAGGTGCTAAAAGAGGTGACCTCAAATCGGTCGGTGTCTTTTATTAGTGAAAAAAGGGAAAGACAGGACGACTTTAAAAAACTGGATTCAATATAGCGTCGTGACTCGACGCGTGGTAGTAGGGGACGGTCTATTCTAAAACATTCACGAGCCGCTGCGTGCATTCGATGCCTTGGCTGCTCCGAGCTGTATCTCTCTCTCTCTCTCTCTTTCTCTCTCTACGCGTCGCAGCTGAGGTTAGGTAGCGTCGAGTGTGAATGGCAAAACTGTCAATCGGCTAGACACTCGGGCCTGGGTCACGGCTGCAACGACAGTGGGGGGGACTTAAGGGGGACTTAAAGGGACTCCGTGGCTACCGTGAATTAGGTGTCAAATGACACATTCGTGTGTTTTTCGACATTTAAACGTCAGACGTCAGACTCGTGAACGCTTGTCAACCGTGCCCCGATCCCGATCATTTGTGCAGCTCCGGAACTGTGCGCGTTCCCTTCCTTCCTCCCCCCCGTGAATCGCTTTTCGGAGATTTGCGAGCAATTTCCGATTGGCAGCCGCTAACGCAGCCATATTGCTTTTCGGTATTTGTGAATAATTTCTGATTGGCGGCTGCGCGTCCACGGGAACGGTATACAGTCGGTGGATCGAGGAGGTTGCAACACTTTCTTTTTTCTTTTTTCTCCTCTTCTCTTTTTTCCGCCCGACGAGTCGCGGGTTGCGCGGCGCCGTCTCTCTTTCGCCAAACAGCGCGGTGGTTACGTCCCGTCCGGGGGTAAACAATGGTGGAAAACAACGAACGACAAATCGCGTCAATTTGAGAGATCCGCCTGTCTGATCTCTCGATCCGTCTGTCTTATAGCCTTTGAATGAATGAATGCAGAGCACGACCGTCGGCGGATTCGCGATGCGAGATCGCGAATCCCGAATTCCCGAAAGGTGGAAGGTGCGAGACGACGTGCGGAGCGGCACACGCCGCGTGCCCGTCTGCACGGGGAACGGTGGGTGATACCGCTCTCCGTTCGCAATAATATAATATACGTGTCGCAAGGGCCGAGTGTCTCCGGGCTGTAATATAACAAGGGTTGAACGACCCCGCCGGTGATACCACGGTCGAAGGGTACGCGCGACCCTTTATTGTAACGCAATATCGCGATAGAACAAAGTTCCTCCTCCCTCTCCCCCCGCCCTCTCCCTCTCCCCCGCTCCCGTTTGGAGAACGTTTGCTTTTGTGCAGCGCACCTTTTCGTGCTTGCTGGGATACCGTAACGTCCCGCGGGCCGATCATATCGATTCGCGATCTCCACTTCGCGATCAATCCGCCGGAATGTTGGCTCTGGAGTCGCCCCCTCCCAGCCCGCGGGTTCTTTTTTTTCCTCTTCTCTTCTTTCCTTCTTTCTCTCCTCTCTTCTTCCTCCTCCTCCTCCTCCTCTTTCTCTTTCTCCCTCTTTCTCTCTCGTTTCCGAATCGCCAGCGATCCAGCTGGAACGCGGCGCAGCTTGCGAGATATACACGTCGATCGGTGCCGAATTTTCCGGTCGGAGAGAGAGAGAGAGAGTGGAGGGGGGAGGTGGGGGAGAGAGGGAGAGCGGCCGAAGATGAAACGGCGAGAGGAGGAGAGGTGGAGCGAGAGAACAGACGGAGGCAAAATGGGAGGACGAGTGAGCGCGTATTCTTGGGACCATTGAAGCTGTGACGTACCAAATATTCGGAAAGGTTTTACCGTCGTTTCAGGCTGGATTATTGGCAGGGTGATAATACTTGAAATTCTTAGAGAAACAAAAAGCAATATAAATTGAAATTCGTATGTTTGAAATTCAATTAATTGAACTCGAGTGTAGTTAAATAACATTACAGATTGTAGTGTTGCTGATACTCAGGTATTCGGACACTCGTATGTATTTGCTAAAAAAAAACGGTGACAGATAAGAATAAAAATTATGTCGCCCGATAATAAAATCTTGCTATCGGTATTTATAAACCGTATATAGCAGGTCGAGAGTCTTAAGATCGCCGGAATTAAATCATCGTCCCCGTTCGGTGTGTTCCGCCGAAAGGCAAGAGACATCCGAAGGAGCTTTTTTTTTTTGCAGAAGGAGAGGAAAAAAAAGTGGAAGGAGAAGAGAGGGAAGGGGGAGAGGGGACATCCCGACATCCGTCTGTTACGCGAGCGTCGGCGCCGCCGCCGCGCCGCGCCGGTGCGTTTCGTATATATATATAGTGATGAATTACCGGTGCGCTCCACTTTCGCGAGAGAGGACTCGGCGTGACCCGGAAACGTGATCGAGAGTGTATAGTATCCGCGGCGGCCTCCCCGCACCGAAATCGGCGCATCTCCGCGCGGATCCCCGCACGCGGAGCTGAAGCGCCCTCCCGTCGTGCGCCGCGGCGTGTTCGTCCCCGCGTGCTCGCGTGTGTCAGCCAGCAGCCTAGAAAGTGAAACGTCAAGGCGCTTGTTTATAAGCGGGGAACGGGCAGAATGGAGCAGCGCCGCGTCGCGCTTAGACGACGATTACGCTCGCGGATGCAGTCGGCGCGGTCCGTCAAACGCACCGATAACGATTCGACCGTGAATGGAGAGAGAGAGAGAGAGGATCCGGAGTGCCGCGGCGGGATGGGGAGGGGGGGGCGCCTTACCATCAATGGGCTTCTGTCAACAACTTGTACTTTGGCATGCGACGCGAATTTCTGTCTCGCGATAACGGAGATCGGTTGACAGGCGAAAGACGTTTGAAGACGTTGCGTTCGTGCGTGCCACATGCATTTCTCGTTCGCGTGTTACGCGTGTCACGCGGATGATTGGACATTATGGCAAAGATATACACACGCGGAGTTTATCGTTAAGTTTTATTGTACGACGCACACTGTTCGACTGTTCGCGCGATGTGTGTGTGTGTGTGTGTGTGTGTGTGTGTGTGTGTGTGTGTGTGTGTGTGTGTGTGTGTGTGTGTGTGTGTGTGTGTGAGTGTGTGTGTGTGTGTGTGTGTGTGTGTGTGTGTGTGTGTGTGTGTGTGTGTGTGTGTGTGTGTGTGTAGTCGTGTCGTAGTGTGTGTCGTGTGTGTGTGTGTGTGTGTGTGTGTCGTGTGTGTGTGTGTGTGTCGTGTGTCGTGTGTCGTGTGTGTGTGTGTGTGTGTGTGTGTGTGTGTGTGTGTGTGTGTGTGTGTGTGTGTGTGTGTGTGTGTGTGTGTGTGTGTGTGTGTGTGTGTGTGTGTGTGTGTTTTCGACGTTGAAAAATTGAGGAGCGGAAAAACTCGCGCGCGTCGCGCTCCATTTTCGTCGCTCGCGACTTCGTCATCGCGCATTGACGTTTGCCCATTGGACATTTGCATAATGTCAACAATTACATTAAAATACGCGTAATCGCAACGTACGCTCTTTATTAACGGATTCCCCATGCGGGCTTGCGACATTGTACACACCACCTGACAATTTATGCCCGTAAAGCATTTGTAAAACAAGGTCACCTTGTGTCACCGTGCAAATTTCTCTAATGGCTCGCTATAAATTACGCGGCGGATAGCGAATGTTTGCACACGCAGCCTACAAATGCCTTTTGTTTATGAGCTCTGTATTAATATAATATGCAAGTGTAATGTTACACGAGCCTATTCGTGCTCGCGCACAGAGAATGATTGTAGAGAGACCGCGGCTTTCTCGATCCCCCCCCCCTCCCCTCTCGAATTAAATTTCTGGAAATACGCGGAAATGGACAAAGAATGAAAATCTCCTTCTCTAAAGCGGTCTCTTCCTTTTCGGGAAACTTTCAGAGATCTTATCGATTCTTGGAAATTTTCAGAAAGCTTCCCTCTCTTGTTTGCCTCTCTTCTAATATGCACGTTTTGCTTTTCAGCCGAGCCATGCGAGCTACCGTGCCCAACGGCCAATCAGATCATTCCAGGAGGAGTAGTTGTTGGTGGAGGCGGAGGAAGCGGTGCCCGAGGCTCGTCCCCTAGTGTATCCGGAGTCGCTGCCCCCTCGCCGTCACCTCAATCGCACTCGTCGCCGTACGACCTGAGACGCAAGAGTCCACCGCATCCAGATCCGGCGCCCGGCACGAGTTCCGCCCTTCCGCCGTCGGGCGGCATCGCCGCCACCTTCGGTTCGTCGTCCCTACCGGCGAGGAAACGACCGAGGCGAACATGTTCGCTGTCCACAGATGGTACGTCTCGAGGCGATCACTATAACGTTCGATGAGTAGAGTTGGTAGCTGCTCCGCGCGTCGAAAGACGACGGGATTAATGCACACAATGGTGGATGTATCTTAAATGTTAACGCTTACGATATATGCGCGCGATATAAAAATCTCAATTCTTGACGCGTGAATCTTTGGACAAACTCAACTCCGAGAGTCCGTTGGAGATCCCGATGGAGATTCCGCTAACTTTTGATTTCTCGCGACAGGTATAAACACAAACACGGCGGCGCACTACCTCCAGTACGAGCTACCGGACGAGGTGCTGCTCACGATATTCAATTACCTTATGGAGCAAGATCTTTGCCGAGTGTCGCAGGTGTGCAAGCGTTTCCAAGTGATCGCGAACGACACGGAGCTGTGGAAGTCGCTGTACCAGCAGGTCTACGAGTACGATCTGCCGCTGTTCAATCCAGCGCTGTGTAAATTCGAATTCGTCTCGCCGGACGACTCCGAGTATCAGAATCCGTGGAAGGAGAGCTTCAGGCAGCTATACAGGGGCGTGCACGTGCGGCCCGGCTTTCAGGACTTGAAGTTCAAGGGCCGCAACCTGCCGTACTTCAACACGGTTCAGGGCGCGCTGGACTACGTCGACGAGTACAGGAGCAACAGCGCCTCGGCGAACAGCGGCGCCACCGCCGCGGCCGGTCAGGGCTGTTGCAACGGTTCGCAAACGAACGGGGAGGACACGGCGACGCAGCATCTGGTCTTCTTGCACGCCGGTACATACAGAGGCGAGTTCCTCGTGATCGACAGCGATGTAGCGTTGATCGGCGCCGCGCCGGGGAATGTCGCGGAGTCCGTCATTCTGGAGCGAGAGAGCGAGTCGACGGTCATGTTTGTGGAGGGTGCGAAACGCGCTTACGCCGGGCATCTCACGCTAAAGTTCACGCCCGACGTCACGAGTACGGTGCCCCATCACAAGCACTATTGTTTGGAGGTTGGTGAAAATTGCAGTCCCACCGTCGATCACTGCATCATCAGAAGCTCGAGCGTTGGTAAGTGTACGGCTTAACGAGCTTTTGTAGACTGATTAAAATATTTTAATGAAAATTTAGAACTCAAATTAGAACTTGAGGGATGGAATTACCTCTATAGAGTAAATTTAAATAAAAATTTTATTATAAAATAACTATAAGAAATATCACTACTAAATGCATATGTATTACAATCTTTAAAAGGATAAAACAAGATCTTCGAATCTTATAATCTCCATTCAATATACGATATAAATGTATAAATTTGGCTTTTCTTATAAATTTCATTTTTTTTTTTTCAACTTTCAGTGGGTGCAGCGGTCTGCGTATCGGGCGTGGGCGCCAATCCGTTGGTGAAGAACTGCGACATATCAGACTGCGAGAATGTCGGGCTGTACGTGACCGACTACGCCCAGGGCACGTACGAGGACAACGAGATCTCGCGGAACGCCCTCGCCGGTATCTGGGTGAAGAATTACGCGAATCCCATCATGCGACGGAATCACATCCACCATGGCCGCGACGTAGGAATCTTCACGTTCGACAACGGGCTCGGTTACTTCGAGGCCAACGACATTCACAACAATCGGATAGCGGGTTTCGAGGTGAAGGCCGGCGCCAATCCCACCGTTGTTCACTGCGAGATTCATCACGGCCAGACCGGCGGCATCTACGTGCACGAAAACGGCCTGGGACAGTTCATCGACAACAAGATTCATTCGAACAATTTTGCTGGCGTGTGGATTACATCGAACTCGAATCCGACTATACGTCGGAACGAGATATACAACGGCCATCAAGGTGGCGTGTATATTTTCGGCGAGGGCAGAGGCCTGATCGAGCACAACAACATCTACGGCAATGCGCTGGCTGGTATACAAATTAGGACAAACTCGGATCCGATCGTCCGGCACAACAAGATACATCACGGTCAGCACGGCGGCATTTACGTGCACGAAAAGGGTCAGGGCTTGATAGAGGAGAACGAGGTGTACGCCAATACGTTGGCAGGCGTGTGGATCACGACGGGCTCGACGCCGGTTTTAAGGCGAAATCGAATTCACAGTGGCAAACAGGTCGGCGTATATTTTTACGACAACGGCCACGGGAAATTGGAGGACAATGATATTTTCAATCATTTGTATTCAGGAGTACAAATAAGGTAATTCTCACGTCCGAAAGGATTGGAATCTTTGTTGAATGGTAGCGATAAGAAAATCGGCTGAATCGGTGTGTTTCTTCCGCAGGACTGGCAGTAATCCGGTCATACGCGGTAATAAGATATGGGGAGGACAAAACGGCGGCGTTCTAGTGTATAATAGTGGCTTAGGCTTACTCGAACAAAATGAGATTTTTGACAATGCGATGGCTGGCGTCTGGATTAAGACGGACAGCAATCCAACTCTCAAAAGAAACAAGATATACGATGGACGGGACGGCGGTATTTGTATATTTAACGGAGGCAAAGGTAAAGTGTTCTCTTTGTAGCAAATTTTTGACTGTTAATCACTTTCCGTGATCGTTGATTAACGTTGACGAATATTACATAGACGGCAAAATGCTTTTAAATAATTTACAATTTTCCTCTTGATGTAGTTTATCTTGCCTACTTTTACTGATTTTTATATTGAAAAAGTGATTTTTATATTGAAATTTATATTGAAAAAGTTCGATGCATGTCGAAATATATTGCACATAAACTTAATTATTTTAACTTAAAAATTAATTAATTCTCTAAATGCTTTGATCATAAAGAGTATAATGAAAATGGAAAACAATCTTTATACGAAGAAAAAAGCAGATGAGACTGAATACATTATATATTCCATTGAAGAGTAGACAGAATCGTGATTTTTCGCGCGTCTCGGTACAGGTATTTTGGAGGAGAACGACATACTTCGCAACGCGCAAGCGGGCGTGCTTATATCGACGCAATCGCAGCCGATCCTGAGGAGGAACCGGATTTTCGACGGCTTGGCGGCCGGCGTCGAGATAACCAACAACGCCACCGCCACCCTGGAATTCAATCAAATATTCAATAATCGATTCGGCGGTCTGTGTCTGGCGAGCGGGGTGCAACCGACGGTTAGAGGTAAAACACACTCCGCTTCCGGTGGCCGGTTCGCCGGTGGCGCTTCTAAACGGAGGAAGTATCGCCACGCGCTTCTTTCTTTCTTTTTTTAGGCAATAAAATATTCAATAACCAAGACGCGGTGGAGAAGGCGGTTGGGAACGGCCAATGTTTATACAAAATCTCTTCGTACACCTCCTTCCCCATGCACGACTTCTATCGCTGTCAAACGTGCAACACGACGGATCGGAACGCGATATGCGTTAACTGTATAAAAACTTGTCACGCCGGTCACGATGTGGAATTCATCAGACACGATCGGTGAGTTCGATTCCATCATACATATTATTTAGTCGCGCGCGCGCGCGTGCCGTAAAATGGAGTAATCGTGTGTGCAATAAATATTTCTAGATTCTTTTGCGATTGCGGCGCCGGAACATTGAGCAATCAGTGCCAGCTGCAGGGTGAGCCGACGCAAGACACGGATACGTTGTACGATAGTGCGGCGCCGATGGAATCACATACACTTATGGTCAACTAGGAACTAACCTAAAATAATTTAAACAATCAAACAATGTCTAGAGCCGTAAGTCCAGTAATATTGCGAGCACGCGCGCGGTAAATCTATTGCCGAGTTCTTTATTTATTATCTTCCCTTCATATCGTCGCATTATATCGTCATTGTTATGCTTTAAAGAAATTCTATTTATTACGATGATTTTGTTTTTATTGTTAATATGTGATATTATTACGGTGTAATATGAATATCACGCAAGGTACACGTGTGTGTGTGTGTGTTAAGTAATATTACATTAACTATAACGATGTGTTAGTAATATTACTTCAACTTAACTTTAACTGTATTATTGCCATTTATTTTTTTATCAAAATTATCATCTTGATACCCACAAGTTGCTTTAATTTTTACAAGAATATATTTCGCGTATTTCCATATTTTGATATGGATGCTAATTGAATTCGAACTATAGACGTTCTGCGTTATCCGTAAACAGAATCATTTGATTATATCATTTCACGCGCGGATATGTAACAGATTTTTTTTACGAATAAAAAATTTATTCACTAATTTATACACATATCTTGAGCAATTAATCGGATTGGTTATCTTTTTTCTGAGTCTATTAAAATGAGATCATTATTGCGATTGCACCTCTATTAGTTTTATTTCAAGTGTTACTTCTATTTAATTGAGTCTTGTTAAAGATTTTTAAAAGAGATAATTGTTTCTTTCCCCAGTCAAGGCTAATAAAGAACTCGGCAATCGAATCGCCAAGAAGGCGATAGTAATAAAATAACAAAGAAAGCCCTTATATGTGTAAAGCATACAGTATCATATTAGGTATATCAAATTAATTTAAATGTGTAAACGAGGGAAACGCTAGGCTAAACGTAAATCGAACTTTTCACGTGACTCTTTTTATTGGGGTTCTACAATCCTTAAAATCTTCATATAACAAGAGAGTGCAGTGCTGTATAAAAAGGAGAAAAAAAAACGAAAGGAAGAAGGAAGAGAAACATGTGTATACGCCATAATGACACTCGACGCCTCAATACGATCTGAACTGCTCTGAAACTGTAATGGAAGCCACGATAACGTAGATAAGACGAATGTAAGCTCGCACAGTGTGAAACAATGTATCTGGAAATGTAAATTGTGTATATCGTACGCGAAGCAGTAACAACGCTGGGAGCGAATAATACGGTCATATTATCTACTTTTGAGCATCAAAGCGAAAATCTACAAAGAAAGAACGTAAAGCATACAGATGAAATTTGCACTCGACAGTTGATAAGAGGGGTACTTGGTCGTATCACAGTGTATAAAAGGAACGGCTAGCAGTGTGTGCGTGTTATTGAGTGCCGCACTCGAAATTGCAAATCTCGAAACTGAAAATCTCGAATTATTTCACGCAACAACAAATAAACAAACAAACAAACAAAAAACGAAAAGTAAAGGACTGTAAACCAACGGGTCACGGAACGTCTCGATCGTTTACGTATTATCAAGTGCAACTTCGTTGAGTCAATGAATCTGTCGAATCCTATGCGGTACAAATCGAATCTCGAAGAGATGAAAAACGAGAGAGGGGACGAACGAGGAGGCCGGAAGACCAACGCGACCGAAGATCTGCAAGACACACCGGAACGAATGTCTAAAATATGTGATATACAAAACTCACACAGGTGGAATAATCAAAAAAAAAAAAATAAAGGTAAACGTGCTGCTAATTTTTCGACGTAAACATACCTCGTAATTAACGCGTTAACGATTCCAATAATCGCGATGGTGAATTTATGTGATGGTCCTAAGTTGCCCCTACACGGGCGAAGTGCATAATAAGGATGGGATAAATGTTGAAGACTAAATTTAAAAAAGAAATCACGAAGAGGGAAGAGTGAAAAGGAAGGAAGAGTGCGTACACGCGGGAATATAATACGACGGTGTATACCAGTGAAAAAGGAAGAGAAAAAAACGAAAAAAAAAAACGGAAGCAGTTAAGCGTTCGAAATAGAAGATGTACTGTCCGAGGAACAGTTTTTAAAAAGTAATCTCGAATTTTTCAGAGTAATCAGATTTTTTTAATTATTACGTTAGTAAGTAAAAGAAGTCTAATTACCTTATTGTAACGTGTAATTTTTCCGGGAGCGGCGCGCGCGCTCCCGTGCGAGGAAAGGAAGCGCCTATTAGCGATATAATTTTAGACCGAAATCACACCTTTATTTACGCAAAATGGTATACATATATAGATAAGTAGAGAGAAGCGGACTGTCGTGAGGCATCATTGTGAATTTTTTGTTTGGAATTTAATAATTCGTAATTCGTTATTCTATGTGTATATTCTGTGGTATCTTTTTTGTATGTCGTGTATGGCAAGGAGACGCATGAAAATTGCCTTTCAGCTTACCGCGACTCAGGAGGATAATATATTATATAGATACATATATATGTATGTATATATGTATGCATCTACATATATAAATATATACATATATATAAGAGTTACTGTACAGCTCAGTGCTAGAACAGTCACATGTCGAGCAAAAGATCCGGGTTCATTTTCCGGACATCTTATTCCGAATATATAACATTAAGAATTTTGAATAAAAAAATATCTCGGAGACACATATGTATATGTGTATATATATATACTTATATGTATATGTATATGTATATATATATACATATACGTTATATATACGAACATATATATGTATATATATGCATAGCGGAGGTATTTTTTTATACAATATACAATCAGTTACCTTGAGATTAAATTAAATTTATCTTTCGCAGACTTTGTTCGTAACAGAGATACGTGTACATGAATATATATATTCATATGCGCAAAAAACATATATGATATGTATATATCTACAAATAATAATACTGAATGGAAGAGGATATTAAGTGAAAGGCATTTTTCGCAGCGCGTCGCATTAAATTTAACCGAAGGGGCAAAAAAAAAGAGATGTATATCGAATCTTTGGGTTCTTGAGTGATATATTGTATGATCTGTTGTTTTGTTTAATAATTGTTCATTTGACGAAAGAGAGTTCGTAGATCCTTTTCTGTCCGACGTTTGAAGCGGAGGAAACTGCAGAAGAATACGGCGATGCACAATACGGGATATACTTAAGACGATACGGGATAATACGTGATTAAAATTCTATTACGTATATACTGCAGTTACGTGCCGGGCGCGCACTCACAAATTGTTTCTATTTATTTTTTTTCTTTCTTTTCCCTTCGCGTTGGAAATTATTGATCACAGAGTTTACGCCACTCTCTAAATTGGACGTGTGATCATAGAAATTTATTTAACAGATTATTTATCGGATATGTATAAATTATTGGTTTGAATTCGAACACTGGATGTTCTGTGTTATCCTTGAACCGAATCATTTTATTGTGTACACATTATATGTGTTGCAGAGATGTATGTATGTATAAATACAGTCTTTATTTCTTTTTATCGGAGCAGTCGAGACGGAAAGAGAATGGCGTGCGCACGGGCGCCGCGCCCGCGCTTCTCTTCATCTCTCCTCCGAGGGTGAATAAAACGAAACCCTCGGAGGTATAAATTTATCATCGTCCGTGCGGAGCCGTTTTTCCCTCCCGAATACGCGAGGGGAGCATTTTTCTGCGATTTCTACCCTCTCATGTACACAGCGAGAGAAGGAACTCGTCCGTCACAGCGTAACTGTCACTGCTGCTATCTGTTCAACGATTCAGTGAGACTTGCCTTAAATTCTACCTATATTTGAAATTATGTTAACAATCATTTGTTGAATGTACAAAATTTGTTCGTTGACAAAATCTTGTGTGATTCGTTCATCGTTACAGCAAAAGATGATCTGCGATACGATATACGGCCTCTGCGAAAGACTCTCTCCAGAAGTATCGGACTTTAGATGTTGTTGACACAGCGAAAGTGCGTCGAGAACATGCTAATCACTCCGTAATATTGCAATTGGAACGACAAAATCGCAGAAGGCTACTCCTAGCGGGCAGGATCGGCGTCTTCCCTCGGCAAATCTTTTTTTTGTGTGTGTGTTCTTCCTGCCCGTAATATAACAACTAACGAAACTCACCGGCGACAGTGACAAATTCGGCCGTGTCGGCGAGTTCTTTTTCTCCGTGCAGTTTTCCCCTCCCCAAGTATGTATGTTGAGTAATGTTTCGAACACATTGTTTTTGCGCAGCAGCCGTGTATATATGTATGTACGTTGTAGGACGAGGCAGTAACCAAGCGGCGAGCGATTCGTGGACTCGTATAATAACTTCCCGACTGCTTCCACACTCCGCCTGCTCGAGCGTACGCGTTTTACGGCTTACACCCTCGTGACCTAAAACTTCAAAAAAAAAAAAAAGTGGGTAAAAACAAGGAAAGAGGGAGAAAAGAGAAACACGTACAGACGCGCACTAGACGCGAGAGATAGGTAAAAATAGGTTTGCACAAAGAACTTCCACAACTACAAAATACACATACACACACACACATACACATCGCAAACACATACACATCGTATACACACACGGTGGGTCGAGACTTTCATATTCGGCTGCGGCACGATTCCAGTGTTTCTCTGTTTCTAGTTGTTGAATGTATTAGAGATAAGACTCGATCACAGCAATAGCAAAACCCTATCCCTTCTTACCCTTCCCCCCCTCTCCCTACCCTTCCAGTTGTGTTTGTCATTTTCACAGTTCCGCGTGTAAGATCCGCTGACGCTAAATAGAGCTTTATATCGCACGTTCCCACCCAAAGCGTGACGTTTGTCGTTTCACGATTTTTACGTTTGCGAAATTTTAAAAGAGTGAGAAGAGCGCGATCAACAGAGAGGAAAAGAGGAGGAGAAATGGTAGAAGTGAAAATCCGATTCGGTTTCGGTGACCGATGGCAGCGGGTTCTGAACGTGTAACAAGAGCGTCGAGTGCGAAACAACGTGGCAATTACGTTGATTGTGCGTGCCGGATTGTCGAGCTAATCGGCTTAGTCGCGAGCAATAAGCGCGTTTCGTGTAAAGTCTCGAAATCTCGAAGTCTCGAAAATGTGTCTCGAACGGTAAAGCATCAATCAACTGTTTGAACGCCGATTATCCTGAACACCTATTCTCCCGGGCAATCGATATCCGTGGAGAAAAAAAAATATGGGGAAAAATGTTTCACTTTATCATCCATTTAAAGGCTTTATTTATATATTTTTTTTTTACATTTATAAAATATTTATGTGAATTTATATGAATATTTTTTATATTTATATTATTTTGTTTTTAGCATCATACCTTGTTTATGTTTTTCTATACATGAAAATTTTTCACGAGTAATCGATAACGGATACGTTATATAGGTCTCCCCTCTCCGTTTTAAATCCGGATAATCGGCGTCTCGCCGTGTACAGGGTGCCTAACTTGAGAGTAATCTAAAAATATCCTCGTTCAAAAATACAAAAAAGGGAGATGCGTTAGGCACACGTTATTTATTTCGAGGGTGCAAACACACACGTACACAAATACACACTCACACGCATGTTGTATTTATCAGCGTTGCGTAAAACGAGACTAAAACGGCCTCTGATCCATCGGTCTCTCTTCATCGCGACTCTTCGATCGCTCCATTCCACGAAGTCTGTACTTGCATCACCGTCAAGTATCGGCTCTCTCGATTCTCCGTCAGCAAGTACTTGCCATTATTACGTTAGTTGCCATAGCCCCATACCGGTGCGGTAGAGAAGCTAGGTAGATTAAGAGCACACGAAGATTGTTGTGCAAACACACGGATCCGCAAAAAATCAGTAGACGTACGTATAGTGTAAATATTAACTTGACCATTCTATATATATATATATATTATATATATATAAATATATATATATACATAACGTATTGATTGCACTATTATATAAAAAAATATATATATTATTGCCGATTATAATTTTTATTTTTTTTTATCCTTTATTGTTAATTTATGTATCTTTTTTTTTTTCGTTTTTATCAGGACATCGAGGACGAAAATGTGTTCGGACTATCGTTTCCTTTTTGCATCTAGGGTAAACGGAAAGAAACGGGAACGAGGTCGATCGTCCTTTATACGATCGAATAAACGATACCACCAAATAATTGCCCCGTGCAAGTAGATTTCGGCCAACCGGTTAGATTTACAGAGCGTGACGTTTAACGCTGCGAGCGAACGAAAATTTACCGGTACCGCGTACCGATTCGAGCGGCACGAAAGGAAAGAGGGAAGAAAGAGAGGGAAAATGGGTAAAGAGGAAAACCGTACGTCGCGCTCTTTCCCGCCGTGATTGCTCGTTTAAAAACTGCGATTTTTCACGCGTGATAATTATGCGGCAATTAAGTAACGTACGTTAATTAACCGGGAGACTCTATTAACCGTTTCGCGGCCGCGGCACGATTGTATTCGCACGCGGATGAAATCTGAATTGTCGCGTAATATCGCGGAACGTATATAAGACGACAATAAGAAACAGTGTAGCTCGGCTCTTTGTCATTTTGTCTATTAAGATCACACAAGATGGATTGTGTTCGGGTTGTATCGTAACCGCGTGGTAAGGTAAATAATTTCGCGCAATAAAGCGAGGTAGATTTCGTATCGCAGCGAACGTAATCTCGTCTTTAATTATTCTCGTGGCAGGTACGAGCTATTAATTTTTCAAATGATTATTCAACCGCGTTGAAATTACCATGAAAAACATAGATTCGCATTTTTACAAGAATTATTCTCAACCACGGAAAAGTCAGCCTTCGATCGAGACAATGAATACATTTGCGATTATCGCGATAATATTTTACCGCAAGTGTGCGCGGGGGGGGGGAGGGGGAGAGAAAAGCCTAGATTGTTTCGCAAAAGTAGTGGTTTCGTCTCCTATTATTAACTGTCATGCAAGGAAGAAATTATTGCAACAAAAAGGAAAAAAAAACGAGCGCGGTC